AATAATGTATAATTATACATAAATAATATACAAAAATGTAATATAAATATTTGTGCATATGAACACTAATCATTATAATAATGGGACTAAGCCGCCATTTTCTACTTTTCTAAGTAAAATACTGTATTAATTCCTAGTATCTTCTAATGACAAAACATTTCATTGAAGACTATTTTTTACCATTTTCCTTTTTTCCTTTCATTTTACCTGTAATAATAAAATAAAATTTATATGTAAAATATTTTATTTAGAAAATGAATAGGTTATCTTCTTATCGAATACTGGAACATCATGATACGTTCCTGGAAAGATCACGTGGTTTTGTTGTGGTCTAAGGTTGTTGCATGTGCACATTCACAAGATTAACAGAAGTAGTTTTCTTCGTGTAGATAGTTACATGAAGTTATTCTTATTCAACTCATAAGTAGCAATATTTATCTCATCAGAAATTATAACGTAGAAACAAGATTTTACATAATAGATTGATCAAAATATAAATACTTAAGAAGTTGATAAATAACAATATTGTGAGTAACAAATTGATATATAAATGAAAATGTTTTATTGCTTACAACAATCGAAGAATGTTTGTACAGCGCTAAATCTTTCTCGTTATTATTGTGTATCACATCGTATCAAAGCAAAACAAGAAACTGATAAAGATATAAACAAAGAAACAATCGTTAAACTCGAGAAATTATCTTTGCTTCATTTGAAAGACGGTCAAAGTGCTTCAGTATTAAAAGCAGCAATTCATTTTACAGAATGTATACGGACTGCAAAAATTGATGAAACAATCGAACCTATGTATACTCCGTTTGAAGAAAAATTAATTCCTTTACGAGATGATAAAGTGCAATATAATATAAAGAGAGAAACAATTTTGAAAAATGCTGTTTTCTTAGAAGAAGAATATTTTGTAGCTCCTTTGAATAGTATTGCAAAACAATGAGTGCCACTCGTATCATAAAAGAAATAAGTGCAAATTTTATCAATTTTTCAGAGCATGGTTTTGTTTATGGGCCTCAGGGTAGAATGTTATTAAGAAATCTGGAAGAACATTGGTTTTTGCATTGCATTACAATGTCACCTTATAACATATTTTTATCAGAACAATTGAGTAATACCTTAAATTTTGTTACTAAAAATCCAATGGGCAAGATTCCATTTGGACTAGCTACTATAAAAGATACAAAAAATTCTTGGAATGAAAATATTCAGCCAATGACATCAAAGATGGAATATCACAAAAGTGCAGAAGTAGCCATATTTAGTGATAACAGAGAAGCTAAAAGTTTGTACCATAAAATACAAAAAGAACGTAAAATTTGGTGGCGCAAATTAGCTCAACAACCATCTAGATTTAAAATTACAGAAACAAGGAGAAGCAAAGATCTAGATTTGGTAGATATAGAAGCTCAATTTCCATTTGGTACCATTACCGTAGAAAAAATAACTTATCATACAGACATTAAAAAACTATTACTTCAGGTGACCTCTTTTTTTCAGTTTCAATAATCTACTTAAAAGTTTAAAAATAAAAATCGTTTATATGGAATATTTTATTTTCAGATTGATAATAAAAAAGATCTTGTCGACATACAAATGGTCGAACATGTAGTATCTTTAGATTGGGGTTGCTTAGCACTACTATGTGATGCTTATAACATAGATGAAACAGCTAAAATGCATATACATTCTAAATTAGCACCACACAAAGTTGCGATTCATATAAAGAAGTCAGAGAATGAAACAAATACTGGAAGTGATGATTTAAATCGCTTTGTACTTTACTTAAACAACATGCTTAGAACAAAGGGCCTGAATACTATATTAACCATCTCAGAAGAAGTTGTGAATGCGTGCTTAGTTCCTTTTATAGTTTTAGTTGACAGGACTAGTCTTGAAAATGGCATTATATATGTAACAAACAGGTCAACAACTCTTAACCAAGCAATTCACATAACTGATTTAGCAAAATATATAACGATGCATTGTTAACCAATTGATATGGTTGAATATTTTGTATCAATAAAATTTTTGTGTTACGCTTTTCAAATATATTATTAGTATAGATATTCTTTTAATTAATAAGGAATATAACAAATTGTAGAAACAGTAATAAATTTTGTCTCAGTTTTGTATTTGATATATTACTCACTAATTTGTGAAATATGCAGCTACTTCATTCTGTCATATATTTGAAAAAAAAAATGTGACTTTATGAAATCAATAAGAATAAGATTCCAAAAGGTACATGTAACCACATGGAATTAAGTTGGACAGTTACACGTATTGACATTCTGCGAAAGTATGAGAAATTGGAATGCTTTGTGCTTAATAAAATTGATACTTTATACAGCAGCATTCCTTAATTGTTTATATATTGCCAAAATTTATATAAACTCAATCAATATAATACCGCCAAGGAGAGCGTTTACATTTTTTTCCAAATAATAATACTTTTACAAAACTAAGCAGGTAATTGTAATTTTTTGCCTTTGAGTACTTTGGTAATATAGAGGTAGAAAAAGTCACAATAAAGAACTGTTTGTACTAAACCAGCAACTATAGCAATTAGATCATAATGGTCTTCTGCGTAATAACGATACATCCAATTTAACAAGTAGAGTCCTCTATACGAGCCCAAAGCGAAGAGGTAGTGACTGGTAATGCTTTCTGCTTCCCCTGTTTTCGACACCAAAAATAATTGTGGCAGTATTGCTACAGATTCTAGGTAAATGCTGAATGTCCATAGAACCTCAACAGCAGTAAATTCATGGTTGATTAGTAATGCCAATACTAATGTTGGCAAAATTAAAAACTCGATTCTGAAAGCAATTAATAGAATGGTAACATAGCGTAACAAAAAATACAAGATAACATAATAAATAGAAAAGCATACCTAAATGTATCATGGTTATGGTCATATGTTGCTTTAAATTTCATATACATTAAAAACACTGTAGCATAGGAAGTAACTATAAAAATGATTTTCATAAATGTATTGTATGCTGAAATGTATGTTGTCATCAAATCTAGGTAACGCATTGTATATACAATTGCAAATAAGATTTGCGATTTGCCACTAATACCTGTAAGATTAAAAAACTTTGATTATGTAGGAAGAAATGTTTATTAAAAAAAGGTATATATTAACATCTAGCAAAGGAGTAAATAGTATCAGTTTCAAAGTTTCAAATACCGGCACAACTCCGTGTCTTCCATATTTTAAGTAGAAGAATGATGATCGCAAGGATATGCGATAAATCGCCTAATAGTCGAAATATGTTCATATTTTCAGTTACACAAAGGTATTTTTCCTAAGAAAGTAAAGACTTCACAGACCTAACTCAGCAAAGCATACAAAATATGACGTGGCTTTGGCTGCAACATCAGCAGATGGCCGACCGATCAACCTCATTTTGAGTGCATATCTTTAATGTTTGGAAATGTTCGTAACAAAGTTGTATTATGATCAATGGATTTTATTTTCAAATCGACATAACTTACAAACTAAATATATTGTTAAAAAAAACATGAAAAGAATATATAACAATATAAAGTAATAATAAATAAATACAAACGAAGTTTCCAAAATATTTTTATTAATAACTTTTTATATATTTTTGTTTATTTACACTTCATTTTACAAATGATTTTTGTTTAATTTTTATCATCTGCATATTTTAAATGTATAATCGTTAAAATAAATATTTTATTCCGCATGTAATATTTGAAATTACGAACGGCTAGGGATATGGTCCTAGCCGTCCTAGTTACAATATGAATCTTTGAAAAGTATTCACATAATTATTTACCAATGCCTAAATATTGATGATAAAA